GGAGGTTTCTTGGGAGAAATGATGAATTAAAGACAGATACTGTGGTTTCTGGCCCTGCTTGTCCAGCACTCCCAGAAACAGGCTGAAGCAGCTCGGCTTTAGCAGGCCTACCACTGCATAATGTGCTCTGGGGGTAGATGTGTGTGTTGGAGGGCAGTGAGTCCTAATCACCACGTATGGATCAGCCACATCACAGCTTCGCTGCTCACGACAACCACAGCTCCACCAACAGCCAGAAAACTTCTCCAGGACCTTGGTAACTGCACAGCACCACAGGGGAGTGAATGGAGAGTGGGGAAGGCACCAGCTTCTCTCCACCAGTGCACTAAACGGACATGACCAGTCACACGCAGCAACTAAATACACCCGAGCAGCTCAGGAGGATGCGGTTGCCTCACACCACTGGAGTTGGGCAATGGCACCTCCTTTCTTACAAGGAAATAACGGGATTTTCCCCCAGAATGCCAGGAGTCAGGGCCTTGCACACATCTCATCCCCAGATGAAAGCTCAGTGCCAGGATTCATCCCAGCTCACCCAAGCTGGGGCCTCGAGGTGTTTGCTGGCATCAAACAGGCCCAGCGCTCACCCATCCCATAGCTACACTGGGTTACACCACAGTGAGTGGGAAATGGAAGCTCTCAGGGTTTCCCTAGGTGGGAACAGCAGAGTTAATGCCACTCACACCACTGATAGCAAAGCATTCACTTGCGTTTGAAGGCTGCTGAACGTGCCATCACCTGCCCGCCCGCATCGCATGGGCACGGCCCAGGAGGGGAGCTCTGCTGAGCCATCACTGCCACCGGTGAACCCGGCCCTGCCTGCGGCCCTGCCTGCCCCAGGGCTGTGTCTGGAGCAGGGTTTCACCGGCTCCTGCCCGCAGCTCATCCCCACTAGAGGGCTTGTGCAAAACTGCTGCAGCTCCGTGGGCAGCCTCACGGCAGGGGCTCAATCCGTGTTTCCAACCGCTGAGGTCGCGGTGCCTCCCTGGGTGCGTGGTTCCCTTTTGTGCCGTGTGTAAGGGAGCATTCAGGGAGCTTCTCCAGTGAGCCAAAATGTCCTAAAAAACAGCAGCAGGAAACAAAGATCTGCCCAAGCCAAGGAAAGGCCTCTTGAATGAGAGCCCTCTTGTCAAGTTGATTTAGGGGTATTTATTCCTGGAGGTGTTTAACACCCTCTTTAATGGACTGGGAAGTATCTTATCATCCTCATGTGATGCAAATGCATCATCCCACTTCCTTCTAAATACTGACTGCGTGCTTCTGCCTTCGCTGCACCTCTATGAACACACAGAGACTTTCTTCAGGACCACTTCACCCAGCACTGGAACAACTGAACCCAGCTCCTAGATAGCACCCAGCAGCTTCCAGCTCTGCCAGGTTTGGTTCTGGTCTCTGGACTATGTGGAATGGGATGTCTGCCGTTCTCATTAGTGACCTTACAGACTGAAAACTCGATCCTTGTGTGCCCTTCTGCAGCCGCTCGCCCCACTCCCTGCCTCTGCTGCATCCTCAGTGCCCGTTCTGCACCCTGGGATTAGCCTGGAGATGGATGTGAAGCAGAAGGAAGCAAGAGAGCTGCTGGGAGAAGATGCACCTCAGCTGTCCTGGTAATGCCAGAGCCCTCTGAGACACTGGAGTGAGCAAGCACAGCAACAGGGCACCAGGGAGAAAGGAGAGTGGAGGGAGGAGGCCTTAACACTGCAAAGCATGAGGCCCCATGAGCTCCTGAATCCTGCAGAGTCCTCACCAGCACTGGACTCCTGGTGCATCCGAGTGATCTGAACCCCTGCGGGGCCCCTCTCAGGGTCCTCCTGCTGTCTGTGCTAAAACACTGCATGAAATCGTGTTCTGAGAACCACTTCCCACACCCCGGGTTTACAGGTAAGTGCCGGATGAATGAGGTGGGATGATGCAGGACGTGGCTCCATCCTCTCAAGGATGGATGGAGGTGGGACGATGCAGGACGTGGCTCCATCCTCTCAAGGATGGATGGAGGTGGGACGATGCAGGACGTGGCTCCATCCTCTCAAGGATGGATGGAGGTGGGACGATGCAGGATGTGGCTCCATCCTCTCAAGGATGGATGGAGGTGGGATGATGCAGGACGTGGCTCTGTCCTCTCAAACACTACTAGGAGCAAAGCCATAGCAACCAGAAAACTGCCTCTGCTATTTCCTACCCACGAGCAGCTCCTGCCATCCCCTGATTGCGTGACCTCCTGTCAGCAGCCTTTGAAGCAATCTTTGACAATGTTTCTGTATCATTGGAACCTGGTTTCTCACCCTGGCCTGTGTCTGCCAAGGCAGCAGCAGCATCTTGGAGCAGTGGGACAGCCTGGCCTTTCAGCACTGGGATTTGTTCTCTTACAGCCCTCATATTCCATCAGTGGAAATCCTGCCCAACAGCGTGGCATGAAAAAGAACTGCAAGGCTGAGTTTGGGTAAGACAGAAAAGATTGACTGGAAAATGACTGCAATAAACTCAAATCACCAATCACTTACAAATGCTAATATTTAGTGTTTGAAAAGGAGGAGGAAGGATCATTACAAATACCAAGTATCTTCTTTTCCATCCTTTCTTGCTAGGTTGGGAAGGTTGGAAGTTCTGAGATGCCTCCATGCCTCAGAGGATACCCTGAAATGTGCCTGTTTCAGTGCTCTGTGGAAAGGGTCTGGCCCTGATTTTTCTCCCCCAGGTGAGAACTGGTGTCAAATGGGAGTGAAGGACAACTGACACCCCAGAAGCTCCTGCACATTGTAGTGAACCCAATTGAAGCAGCATGGGTCACAGCTGGTTTCCATCATGCCAGAATACAGGTACCGACTCCAAGAACTATATTGCAATGTATTCTGCAGGAACCCTTCATTCTGGGAGCAGCCATGTAAAGAGCTTCTCTTCCGCCTGCTTTTTGTCCCTGAGCAGAGATAAAATGCTTTCTTTAAGGTTCTTTTGGCTGTGCTTCCTTCTGGAGATGCTGCTGCCCTGGTACTAATGTGCTGAGCAGCACTAACATGTTCAGTTACATGCACATGGCTTTTTCCCTGAATAATGAAATTTAAAGGCTATTTTGGCATGAATTCGTTCATTGTTACCCCTCCTGGTGCTGCCACGCACGAATATTTGCTTTTGGCCAAAGCCAAGTTGAGCACGAGGCTGCAGTTTGCTTTGTTTCTATTACCACCACCAAAGGCTGGGGAGGGACCATGGCACCAAGGCTGAGCTGGGGGGCAACCAGCAGCAGGTTGGAAGCATCGATCTAGGAGTGTGCATTTGGGTGGTGCAAACCTCTCCTCCTGCAGCCTCTCCATCCTGTCAGTGCCTCCTGGGCTGAGGGAAAGCTTTGATCCTTCACAAGTGGGAGCAGCAAGACTCCTCTTTGGTTATTGTGCTCTCAGGAGCCGGTTTCAGGAGCACACTGAGAAGCAAATTTGACTTCTTCCACATGGTTTTCCCTCGGTTGGTACAGCTTGAAAAGCTGAGGAAGCTGCCCCCCAGCGCACCAGTGAGAGCTCAGGCAAAGAAACACTGCAGAGGCCACCAGTACCATCAAGGGTTTGATTTATGATCTAAACCAACAACTGCTGGTTGCCTCAGCTGGTCCCTTTTCTGTCCCCATATGACATATGCTTCTGCCCTGCTCTCAGTGAGCTCCAGGAGTATCCCTGTTAGCAGGATGCTCTATGTATGTACCCAGTGTCAAACTGCGGAACCAAAACTCGGGGTTAAGACTCAAAGCTCCGAATTACCAACCAAAGTTCTCCCAGCCAGCATCCCCAAGCGGGCAGCGCCAAAACTCCAGGGTCACTGCTGGAGCCTGCAGCCTCTTGGGGGGGTTATGGTGGAAAGAAGAGCAAACTGCAAGGCCACTTTGCTACCCCTGACCCTTTCCAGCCCAGCTCAGCCCCTGGAGCTGTCCACAGTTCTACCACCCAACCCACCCTGAGCACGAACCCCAGCACGTCGCAGCCTTTCCCTCTCAAAAGCTGTAAGAGAACCTATTGCAAACGAAACCTTGAGCCCACTCAAGTGTCCAACATGAGCAAAGGAAAAAAGCTCCAAAACACAGCAGTGCTGCCCATCAGGTGCCATTCTGCCCTCCAGCAGGAAGGCTTCACTGTGGAAGCGATGGAGGAGCTCGATTCTGTCCAGCTCCTTCCATCAACCCACCTCTGGCACATTACATCGCAGCAGGGGATGCTCTAACCAACATCCTTTGAGGGTGCCTCTAGATAAAGTACCCATTGGGCACAGCCTTAGCATATTAATGTTAGCATAAAATATTAGTAATGCTTTTTACCACTGCACAATACAAACTCTTTCACTTCCTGCAACTGGTAGTAACGTGTGGGATCAGGGTGAGGTTCTAGTGTGCAGGAACAAAAATCCAGCACTGGTTTCCAGTGCAGATTGTGGGGAGCAAGTAAAACAGACTTGTCTTTTTATAGCCTGTTTCCATGGTGCAAAGAGGTTCCCGTAGCTAATCCTGCAGCTGCACAACTGCAGAGCACTGCACAGCCTGGGGACAATCCTGTGGCAGTCTGCCCCATCCGTTCCCAGATCAAATCCAGTGGCTTAACACCGGCATCAGACAACAGAGCCTTCTCCCACTCTGACACCAGAGCGGGGTGGCTGCGGTTGAACTTCCTCAAGCTGCTGATCCATTTGGGATGGATCAGAGCAGCCAAAGCAAGGTCTGGGTTTCAGACCCCAACTGCCCAAGCCCCCAGGCCATTCAGAGGAGGTAAAGAAACAGGTTCCTATTTGACTTTTCTTAGGGCTGTACATCTGAAGGACGAGCAGTAACTGCACCAACCCCTCTGCTCCTCTCATTGCACAATGAAGTGGTGCTGTCTCTTTCTCAGAGCCACCCCTGCCCTCCCCACCTCCACACACCAGAAGAGAGCCCCAGAGCATCCTCCAGGACCCAACATGCTGAGCACCAGTCACTCCCTCCACCCCCAGCACGGTGACACCCGCCCTGTACCCAGGGCACAACTCACCTGCTCCTGGGAGTTCATCACCCGCAGCTTCATTTGCTTCAGGTAAGTGGAGGTGAGGGGCATGTTGTAGTCAATGATCCCAGAAACCAAAGAGGAGGGCGGTTCACTCTCTGAGGAACAGAGGGGAAACTTCATTTAGCTACGGGGCTGTGGGAGCACAAACCTACAATGCGTTCTCATAGCCATCAAACCCATGGATTTAGAACACTTAAGGTCCTTAGCGAGAGCGGGTGCCCGCTGAGCTGAGGTTCCCCTAAGAACATGACCCCACTGCGAACATGATTACAGAACAGATGTTGGGTTACAAGGAAAAGCTCAAAGCATCCCTGTCACCTGCATTAGACATGCACCTCACCCAGCACGTGCCATGCTCCCAGCCTGGGACATAGCAGAGGAAGGAACCGATGCCTCAAAGCCCTTCCAAGCAAACGGGACTGATGCAGAGGCTGATGAGCAGGAATAGATTTGCAGCTTGCTTTAGCATTGCAGAGTCTGGCCAATTTTGCTGGGATTCCCTCAGGTAGGTGCTAACATTAAGGCAATTTATTAAGTATCTCCATGTGGTGATGAAGATTATTTTTAACACTCTCATTAAAACACAAACTTCATTTTAAAGATCTTTAATTTCAATTGTTCCTGTGGATTCCTCTGGCTGCCGAGATTGAGCTCCGGAGATCTCCCTGGATTCAGACCCTCCTGCAGCTCCGTCCCCACAAAGCACTTCCTCAGTGACACCCCTGAGCTCTCCAGGGTTTGCCAGCTCTGCCATCAGCACTGTGGGGCCTGAGCCCCCCCCAGGACACGAAGGCTGCTGGAGTTCTCTGTGCTCATGGTGAATGTACAGCCTCGTGCCACGGGGCTGTTCAAGAGGAACACTGGTTCCTGCAGGGATGGCTGCTGGCTAGAGGGGGATCTGTTTGCCCTCCATGCAAGCGCAGGGAATTAAACCAGCCTTCCAGAACACTCCAAAGGGATGTGTGGTGTCTGCAGCCGATGGGGAAGCAGGAATTCCAGGAGCTGAAGGTGAAGCAGTGGCCGGAGGTTTCCATTGCTGCTCCTCACTCCCTCGGCTGGCTTGTCTTTGGGGATCACCGGTTTCAGAGGCACCTCTGACGCAGCAGCCCCCCCCCGGAATGTTTGAGAGCACCTCTGGAACCCAGCAACCCAAACACAGTGGGGCTGCTCCTCAGAATATCCAAACATCCCAGTGGAAGCCGGCAGACCTGAGGACACCTCACACCTCGGGAAACACCAGCTCTGTCGGGTATGGTGAAGAAATGACCTGACCCTAAAACTCCCTGTAACTGACTCAAACATCACATTGGTTTTGGAGGATCTTCTCTATCAAGACACTAACTGGGTTCATGGAAATGCTTTGTTCCCAGGTTCATTGGATTCACCCCTGGGCATCTGAAGCATCTGAAGCATTCCTGCCTGAGGATGCAGGGGAGGGCGGCCAGAGCTACTCAGGCCAAATATGAAGGGGCAAAGCTTTAGGAAACTTGTAAACTAAGACACACACACACCCCCCCCCCCTTTTCTCATGGCTGTATGTCAGTGGTTCCTGTCACACTTTGAACTACAGATTAACTAAGAGCATTTCTACATCTCTGTACTCACCCCAAATAACCCATTCTACTGTGCCAGGGTGTTACTTTGTGATGGAAAGATGCTGAAGCCCCAGTGCAAGGGGGCCTTGTGGCTGCCTGGGTCTGCAGTGAAAGAGGAACTGCTCCCAGGAACAAAATCTGCCACCTCCCCAGGCTGGCTGGGGCCAAGGCTGGAGTCTTTAGGGGTTTAGGAAAGCACTTGCCAAGAGCAGCAATGGCAAAGCTGCTCCTTCCTGAAGCAGAGGTGTGCGTAGGGTGAGCCTTGCAGACCTCTCAGGATGACACCCTGCTCTCCTGCCATCCCCCATGTAATAGCTCATCACTGCCCAAAGGAGTGAGGCTCAGCAGAAGCGGCTCAGCATCCCCACAGGGGAAGGAAGAGTGAGGTAGCTGAGTTTTGGTGCTTAGATTCTGCCTGAAACTGTCCTGATGTAAAGCCAGATTAATCCCATTAACAGCCTCAAAGTTACTGCACCAGATCTGAGCTGAGCCTAAGAACCCAAACCCCTTATTCTTTATGAAACTGGAAAAGAAAGCAAACCTTTGTTTGAAAAGGCCTGGGGGACTCCATGGGAACAATCCTCGTACCCCACATGTCACAAGAGAGGGCTCCTGGAATCCTTGAGCTCATTTTTCATGAAGCTAGCTGGATCACATGCTGGACACCCGGACGGGACAGGCAGGATGGTTTAAAGCAACATGAGTTCAATCCTAATTCCAAGCTTGTATAACCCCACTGCAATTAGTCCTAATTTAGTAAGAGTGGAAAGAGATGCCAGTGGAGCCCAGTGATGTTCCAGGTTTCCCATGAGCAAGACCATTTGCTTTTATGAATGATGTGGGTACCGGGCAGGGTTTGATGTCCGATCTGTTTATTCAGGCAGTTCGGTGATCACAAATGAAATGTGTTGGGATTTGCTCAATGGACAAGAGAAGGAGGAAGAGATGGGAATGACTCAAAGTTCTTCATGTTGCTGAGTTAACCTTTACCTGTGTGTGCCTGTGTGTGTGTGCAGGTGCTCACACCCAGGTAACTCCTCTATGACCTCTCTGGGTTTTTAGGTGATTTGCTCCTGATAAATTGCTGAACATGCATTAGAGAAACCAGAAACCCTTCCCCAGTAAAAGTTACCTTATCTAATCTGCTCTATGCATTTTCACGGGTACTTAGTCACTATTTAGGTGCTATTCAGGGCAGAAAGGCACTTCTGTCCTGCTGTTCCTGGTGGGGATCCTTTGTTTTCCTCTTTGATATACCTTTAAGGGAACAGCTAAGGGGGAAAGCTTTACTAAAATAACTGAGGAATCTGCTCAGGACAGACAGATCTCAGCCCTGATCGTGGTTTCTATGGCTGGAAGCACTCTGGAGGGGACACCCAGCACCTGGTGCTCCCTGGGGTGCCTCCAAGCCAGGGTGCTGCCATGTCCCTGGAAGAACAGGGGGACATGGGGCTGGTGGGTGGGCAGGAGGGAGCCCCTGAAGGAACAATGACCCTTTCCATCAGCTGCCTCCTGGAAAGGGATCCCGAGCTCCGAGGCTGGCAGCTTGGCTAGAGCCAGGCACTTGGTGGAGTGTCCTGGTTTGGCTGACCCAACAGGGGACATCCTTGCCCTATCCCACCATCCATCCAGGCCCTGGGCCGGCTGCTGCAGCCGCAGCACTTGGAACGTCACCGTGATGGATGCGGCGCAAGCAGTGTAAAGGTCACGTCTGCTCCCAGCGAGGCCAAAGGCCAAAACTTCTCCTGACCTAATTGGAAAGAGGGATCCGGCCCTTCACCAGCAGGGTGGGAAGTGCTGCAGGAAGGGAGCTTGGGCTAATAAGTGTCACACACCATTATTCGGGAGGGTTCCTAAACCATGCAACAAGCACAGAGCCTTTCCATGAGCAGCTCTGCAGAGCTGGCACACGTAATCCACTTAACCAGACCTCTGGGCAGCCCTTGCTCTGCACCGAGCACTCAACAGCTGGGAATTCGGATTTCAGAAGGGAAATTTTCTGTTGTTGGGCCCTTTGTTCTGCTCCTCCGCTCAATGAGAGCTGCCAAGGGAGCCTGGTGGCCTCACCGGGGTAGAGCCAGGCTCCCTGCAGCCTGCTCATGGGTTTTACAAAGCAATTTTGGGTGAAACCCCCTGGGGCAGTTTGCTGGTTTGTGCTTGAGCACAAAACCAAGCTTGTAATCCAGCAAAAAAGAGGCAAACAGCAGCTTTAAGCACTCCGGAAGGAAACCTGGTCCCATCTCCCTACCATTTATATGATAGCTGCAGATTGGCTCCATTTACAAAAGCACCATAAGGAGCCAACCACCGCAATGGCCACGCTAACTGCTGGGATACAAAGGCTTAATGCAACTTTGATTACCAAAACACTTTATCAAACACGGGATCACGATGTGCATATCTATTAATTACTGCACATTAATTCCGTATCAGAAACTTCAGTTATTCAGATATATTCAGTCCCTTTGAGCACAAAATTAATAGTTTAAAGGAAAAACTTTAGGTCATGGTTTTGGTTGTGTTTGGTTTTTTTTTTCTCCAGAAACCGGGTTTAAGCAATTCTTTCAGCTTGGCTATGAAAAATGCATGAAAAAATAACCCAGGTCAGGAAAACCATCGGGTTAAGGAGTATCTCAGGGATGGGGCAGTGCCCTGACAGCTCTCAGGGCTACTGCACCGGTACAAAATGTTGTGTCAGCTCTGCTGGCAGAATTCATTCGCCTTTACCTTTGGGCTCCAGGCCGTTGGAGTTGAAATGCATCCTCTTCTGGCACTCGGTGCAGCTCATCAGGAACCTGGTCACGGCTTCTCTCGGCAGGAACGCGTAGGTCTCTGCGATCTGGGAAGGCAACGGGACAGCTCCGTGAGAGAGAACGGTGCCTGGCAGAGGGCACCGTGACCACGGGCTCCTCCCGCCTCCCCTGCTTGCTCAGCCTAGCCCAAGGGCATCCACATCCCACAGCAACCTGGGCTCCCTGGATCCCTCCCTCCAGAGCAGCTGCTGATGGAGGACCATTTTGGAAGTACTCAGTGTATCAGAGGTGCTGACACACAAACAAACAGACCTTTGGACTCCCAGCAAGGGAAACCCTCCCAGAAACTCCTTCCAGTCACCCTCGGAGCCTATGAAGAGCAAAGCCTCAAATGTGTGAGAATCAGCTGAGAAATGCAGCTCTGTTTGCATTAATTGTCATCACACCAGTAACCTGAAGAATCCATTAATCTTCAGTGAGGGCAGGTCACTTTTTCCCACAATGACAATCAATTACTGGTAATACTTTGCACTTGTGTGACACACTTTATCCAGGGAATTGAAAACATTTTTGCAAACAGCACTGCTCAGTCTCCTGAACCTGCCTGGGATATTTGTATTTTACAGATGAGGAAAAGCTTAGGATAAATATTTAAAACTTGGATGCTTGAAGTTAAACACCAGCTCCAGACCTCAGCACCCACAGAAGGTACCTGGCTATCAGAGTCCTCCTGCTCCAATTAATCCCTGCCAGCAGCAGTTCTACAGCACTTCTAAAGATCAAGACCAGGTTATTTGGAGCAGGAATGAGGCAGTTTCAACGTGGGTTTCTGTAAGGCCATAAGACACCATCAAACCATGGAGCCTGACCTGTGCAGCACAAACTGGGGCACTTCACCCAGGTTGTGCAGCCTGTGGTTTGCCTAAAACAGCTTCCAGGAAGACATCTGGTCTTAATTGGAGGCATTAAGAGGTGCGGAGCCCACCTCTTACTTGGGGCTGGTTCCCCCGGTTAATCACCCATCCTGTTTGGTCTAAGTGACTTGTCCCAGCACGGCGGTTCCCCAGGCAGGGGCCGCGACCCCAGCAGGGGTCACAGCCCTTACAAGTGGGGTCACAGAGCAGACAGAAATTCAATTGTTCATGCCGCTCCTCGGGGCTGGAGCACGGCAGAAGCGGGGCTCGGGACGGGAAGCGCGGCTGCAACCGGACACCTCGAGGGTGACAGGGCCAGGAGGGGAGCCCGGCCCGGCCCGACCCCTCCCCGGGCCGTGGGCTCCGTCCTCCCGCCCGCCCTTTGTGAACAGCGACCCCAAATACCCCAATTCCACGACTGTTTCTGCCCCACAGGAAAGGGCGATGCTCGGGCTTGGAATAAACCCCATGCTCCTGAAGGAGCGCAGAGGCTTTGCTCGGGGACGGCCAAAGGCGCCCCGGCGCTGCGGTGGGAGGAGAGCCATCCATCTCCACTGAGCGGCAGCAGAGCCCGAGCTTTCACACGCCTGCTCATGCCAGATGGGTGGAAAGTTCAGGCAGGGACCTTGTCCCAGCCGCTCAAATGGAGGATGCAGTGCCTGCTCCTCATGGGATTCTCCTCCTGTTTAGCTACAGCCCCACCGAGCTCTGCTGTGCCCCAGCGGATGCCCAGCTCAGCCTCTGCCTCTGTGCCATATTTACCAGCGCACAAGCACGAGGGACTCCCACAGAAACACTGACATTAAGGGCCTGAAAATCACTGGTGGCAATCGGGGTATTGTGGCATAGGCAGGGTCCTGTCCCTCGCTGCTGCCCGCGGGGCTGAGCCCAGTTTCCTGCCTCCTTTGCTCCAGCAAGCCCATAGTCTCTGCTGCAAATGTTCAGCTAATTTTAGCGATCCAGTTGTTATTTCTCAGCTGATTTGATGCTCTGCAGAGCAGACAGCTCCCTTGATGAGTTATCTCCCATCCAAACTCCCTTTCTGATTGCCTCCCTCCGGAGGTCACGGACAAGGGCAAACTCTCCAGTGCCTCTCATCAGAACCGGTGCGGAAGAGGAGCGGGAGGGAAGCGCTGGGGACCCGGCAGCCTCCCGAGCTGACCCCTTTGTGCACGGAGCGGCGGCGCGGGGCGTGCTCTGCAGCGTTCACCTTCCAGCCCCGGCTCCAAAGGCGCTTCCAGGGAGACGGGGCATGAGCGGGGCCAGCAGCGCAGCCGGCAGCGTCCTGCCAGGTCAGGAGGGGATACACGCTGCTAATGTGATGATCTCAGCTCAAGGGGGAGCCGGGAGGGGTGGAGCGTGAAGCTCCCTGGCTGCTGCGAGCAGGCCTGGGAAAACAGACGGATCCCGGCTGCTCCCCCGGGGCTGCGCAGGGCACAGATTAGTCCTCCAGAGACCTGAATTGAGGGAATTAAGGGAGGCTCGGCGGGGTCTGCTGGGGAAACGAGCAGAAAGGCTTTGAATTGTGCTCACACTGGTGGGACTGCATCTCCCCACAATATAAAGGGGTCACTTGCCCTTGGGGGGGGGGTCAGTGTGTGCCCCAAGCCTGCTCTGCTGCAGCGACAGGGGTTGGGATGCAAGGCACAAGCGATGCCTCGAGCTCTGGGTTCAGAATGTGGCTCCCAACCCCCATGGGGGACTGCAGGGCACTGTGCTGCTCCTCCAGCACCAACAGCAGTGGATGGACACAGGGACACAAGCAGGCAGGACAGGCTCCACCCCTGAGCCGGCTCCAGCAGCACACCAAGCCCTGCATAATCTCCAGCATCATCACAGGGAGCAGGGCAGCCTGCACAGACCTCTCCAGGATGATGTATACACCAGAGACACGAGCTGCCAGCCAGCCACTTCTGTCTCTAAGCGACCTGGTCCTTAGGGCTCTGGGATGCAAGGGAGTCGCTCGGGTTTGGACGGTAAATTCAGCTCTTCGTGTAAAAGGAAAGCCCAAATGTTTGCATGGAAGGGCTGTGCAGAGTCAGGAGAAACAGCAAGCTCCCTGGAGAAGCACACTTCAAGCTAAATTATTCCTGACCTAACTAGAGAGGTTTCAGGATGGATAGAGCTGGCTCTCAGCATCCGTGGAGCACCTGATGAGACTGAGCTCGGTGCCTGCCTCCATTTTGTAACAGAGGAAACCCAGGACGGGCTGGCGAGAGCATCCACAGGCTGGGGGAGAGGGGCGGGCTCCAGCTGGCCCCAGCCCCCCTTGCTGCCTGCTCCTGCCCTTTCCTGCCTGCTCCTGCCCTTCAAGGCCCACGCGACACATCTCCCTCTGGCCAAGGGAGACAGGGAGGCAGATGGCACAGAGCAGAGCATGCAGGGGACTGGGCAAACGTCCCCTCGCCCATCAGTGGTACCAAACGTTTCTCTTTTTCCCCTCAGACACACACAGTTGTCTTTGTACAATTCACTTGGTTTTTCCCCCTCTCCAAGCCGCCCGCACTGCTGTGCAGCTGATGCAGGTGGGTCTCCCAGCTCCCCAGCCCCTCTGCCCTGCCTTTAACCGATTCCTCTGCCTCGCTGCACAGGCATCACCTCTGCCTGCCACCAGCAGCTCTGCTGGTACCTCCCCTTGCGGTCCCCATCGCCGTGCTTCACCCCAGCTCCCATCCCCTCGCTCCCGGGGCACACGGGGCAGGGCTCTCACCGCTCGGTAGGTTTTCTTCTGCCCCGCATGCTTGGGTGCTTTGCCCGGCTCCGACGAGCTCTCCACATGCATCGAGTAGATGATGTCAAAGAAATCTTCCACCACGGCCACGCGCTTCAGAGAGATGCCCTCGGGCTCCGTCAGTCCATCTGCCCCCTACAACAGTGCAGGCAAGTTGAGTTAGTGTCAGCAGTGGGTGACAGGGGTGACGAGATGGGCCCGGGGCTAACGCGGTCGGAGGGGGCAGCACCGCGGTGCTGCTGCCTTGGGCACAGGGGATGTGGGGGATGAATTGAGCAGGGCTCCAGGGAGGATCCTGCTGTAGCCAGGGCAGTGGAAGCTGCTGCTGTGCTGCTAAAGCTGCCAGTGAAATTGGGCCAGGAACAAAAACAAGGGAAGAGTCCAGAGTGGAGCCAGAAATTGAATTTTCATAATGTAGGGTGATTTTGCTAAGCAGGGAACAGGCAGGGAAGCTCTTTGGATCTGCACATGGCACTAAACCACCCTGGGAAGCCCTGTGACATGGGGCTGCAGACCCTGCAGACACACATCAGCTGCTGGCAGGACAAGGTTTCAGTGTGATGCCAGGATACGGCCCCTAAAGGAAGGAGCCAGCATCTCCCTCCTTCCCCGCACTGACCTTTCCAAGGCACCCTCCCTCTCTCACATACGCAGAGCAGCTGAGCGCTGGCAGCAGCAGCACAGCTCTTTGTGTGTTCGGATGTGCTGGAGAGCAGGAGGCAGTAATTCTGCCACACGGCAGTGGTGACAGACTGATGGGAGTGGGAAGTGCGGGGAGCAGTGCTCCTCCGAGCCGACTGGCACCGCCGGTGTCAGCTCCCGCTGGCAGGGGGAAGGGGAGGCAGCCGCTGGTACCAGCACCGGCACGGGCAGGGCACTGGGAGGCAGCCGGCGGTGACTGAAGGGCAGCAGGCGCTGAGGAAGGGCCAGGCTTCGGGAGGTCACTGAGCTCGCTCCTTGAATTGATGCCATTGTTGCTCGGGAGCTGTATGCATACCAAACCCTATATATTATAGATACATATCCATACAGATATACACCCAGACCACGTCCCTTTGAGGCCTGCCTTCCTGAGGCATGCATCGATGCCATCCAGCTGGTGCACCCCAGGCTGCTGAGCAGCAACCTGCACATCTACATGACCTGCAAACTCTCTTTTTCATGTATATTCACACAGCAGGAGTGCAGGCAGAGCCTGGCAGAGGTCTGCATGCAAAGGGAACACCCAGCGTCCTAACCTTGATTTTTGTCGTTACTGGTGGTTGGGCTCTGGGTATTTTATATGGTCTATATGCTGAACAAATGCTGCTCTTAATCAATCATTTAGAGGTGCGACCTTCTGCTAGAGACTACCCAACATCTCCCTGCAAAGTGCTGCCTATTAAAGCTGGCTCCTCACCCCGATTTGGGAACAGACACTGTGCTGGGCACAGACTGCAGTGGGCTGGGTTGGTCCAGCACAAACCACCTCCGCCTTCCCGGGGGAGTCCCGAGCCCTGCATGAAGGTGGCTGTAACAAAGAGAATGCAGAGAGCGAACACAGGGGGCAGGGTGGCAGCTCGGCCGTGGTGGGGGTCGGGGAACTTGGCCCGCGGGAGGGTTTGTGAGGAATAGAGACCTAATTCCTTCTGTCACCGTTCGGGGAGTTTCACTTCAATCGAGGGCACGGGTATCCCCCTGCCAGGGAGGAGCGGGCATTAGGAGGCTTCCCACTGACCAATAATCCTCAGAGCTGGGTTGAAATGAGGATAATTACAGAAACAGGACAAAGGAAAATGAATGCAGCGGGAGAAAAGCACAGTCAGACGCAACAAGCAGAGCCCTCAGAATTAAGGTTGTTCCCAACCCCGTATGCAAACCACTGTTTCCAGGGCCATCCCAGGCAGCTAACACCCTCCTGCCTGCGCCGCCCGTGCTTCCCTGCTCCCTCCTCGGTTCAAAATGAACGCAGTTAAGGTTTGGGCATCACCAGAGCCGCTCTGCTCATCCTTCATACAGCCTGCCGCTCCGTCCTGGCCGGATGCCGGAGCTGTCTCCTCGACATCCCTCCCCTGCCTCCTCGTGTCTCTCCATCCCCCCTCAGCCTTGTGACTTCTCTCTCTGCGGTGATCATTTAGCTCTGGGAAGCAGGTGGGATGCAAGTGGGATACAAGCGGCTGGATCAAGTCAGTGCCTCCAGGATTCCAAGGTTTCTATCTGCCGATATAACCCAGGGTTGACCTAGGATGTAAGGGGACACAGGCACCACACACTAGCTCTGAGAGGGGCCCACGCCCCCCTGGTTCCTCCTTCCACACCCAGCATTGCTCATGAGTATTCAAGGCATGAGTCAGAGCCCACAGTATCTCAGAGTGGCTCAAAACCCCCTTAGGTTTAAAAAGCAATAAAAATGCAGTTGGGAAGGATGGGAATAAGGGATGCTTTCACCTCCTCCTGGTGTTGGGGCTCTATTGGAAGTCACCTGCCCCCAGAATGAGATTTCAGGAGCGAAGCTCAGCCTCGACACAAGCGCGTGGAACCAGGCAGCATTTCAGGTGCTGAGGGGAGGAATTCCCTTTGCCACCTTACAGGCATCCTCCTTTTCCCGACATTCGCCCAGCATTTGTCTCTCCTCCTTCCCAGTCTCCTTCTCCACCGCTGCATGCCCCATCCCACAGGGATGGATGTGCCTCACCCCCTCTCTCCCACCTTCCCGCACTTCCTCTCCCCCAGGTTATCCATCGGGTCTTTTCCCTCCCCATTCTCCTTTGTTTCCCCCATCTCCTCCAGGCCCGTGTCCCTTCGCTCGCCTCCTCCTCACGTCCCCCTGAGCGCGGCGGCAGCTCCCGGCAGCCCCCCTCGGGCCGCTGCACCCGCATCTCCCCTGCATCCCCTCGGCCCCGCCTGCCCCATCACACTCAGCTCCCGCCTGCTGCTCCCGGTCCATGCCCGGCAGCGGTGCCCCGAGGAGGCTGCCGGAGGAGCAGCGGAGGCGGAACCCGGTTCAGGCAGCGGTGTCCCGGGCGGGGCACGAGGGGCAGCGCTCCCCGCCGGGCCCGGCCCCGGCACCTTTGTTCCCGGCCCTGCCCTGCGCTCCCTCCCCGCTCCATCCCCCGCAGGCCCGGGGCCGGGCCCTTCGCCCTCCCGCTCGGGATGAGGGCTCGGGGGGGGGCCGGGGAGTCCCGGGGCCGGGACATCTGCGCGGCGGGGAGGGGAGGGGGGCGCGGGCGCCCCGGGCCGGGCCGGGCTGAGGCCCGCCGGCAGGTAGCGGGGTAACCATGGCAACCGGCGGTAATCCGCTCCCCCGGGCCGGGCCGGGCCGGGCCCGCCGCTGGCTCCTCCTCACGCCCGCCCCGGTGCCCCCGCAGAGCCCCGCCCGGCACGGACCGGCCCCGACCAGCCCGGCCCTGGCTGAGAGCATCTCCGGGCCGCGGGCAGCCGGGGTCCCGCTCCTCAGACCCCGGTGCGGGCAGCGCCAGGGACAGCGCAGCCCCTGCCCCTCCCCTTACCCCGCATGGCAGCCCCGCTGTGTCCCCATCATGGACCCGCCGTGCTGGGAGCCCGGCAGCGCCATCCGCACACACCCACGGCGGCCTCCTGCAGCCCGGCTCCCTCCGCTCCAGCCCCCGCAGCCCTCCCTCGCTGCCCGCTGTGCGTGTGGATGCTGCCATCACGGGGCCCCGCAGCCGGACCGCGGCACTGAGCAGCGCTCGGGCTCCGTGCGGGGCAGCAGCGCCCAGGCCGGCAGCTGCCACCCGATCCCCTCCGCCGTGACCTCCACCCCGAGCCCCCGCGGCCGCCACCGCCCCGTGCGAAACCGGACTCCGGCCGGGGTCAGCCCCGCAGGGAGGCCAGGGATGAGCAGCGGCCTCCCTGCAAAGCGCTCCCGTCCCTGCGAGCCCGGCCCCGCCTCGGACCCTGATCCGGGAGCGGATGGGAGGGTTCAAGCGGAGCGGCGAGCCCAGGAGGCAGCGTGGTCCCAGCTCCTCTACGGGAGCATCCGGTACCTGCCCGGTTGGGCTCAGCAGCCTGGAGGGTCCCTGCTCTGCCCTGCACGGGATGGCCGGGGCAATCTGCCCCCTCCGCGGGGCTGGCGGCTCCCCTGGGGCCGGGGAAGCTGCCCCCGCCTCGCTGCTCCGCAGGGAAGCCTCCCTTTTGGGAGCGGGGTGCACGGAGAGGGCCATGGGGCAGGGAGCACGGGAGCAGCAGCGCGATGGGAGGGAGCGCCGAGCGCTTCCCCATCTGCTGCGCTCACCAGCAGATAAAGCGCTGCCCTGGCCCTCGCGCGAGGGGCTGATAGCAGCCGAATTCAGCTTCCTGTGAGTCAAAAGCCGCTTCCTGCAGGCAGAGCCCTGCCTGATAATGGCTGTGCTCTGTTCTCTGCCCAGGGAGCAGACCCTGTGCCCGCGCCTCTCCTTGTGCTTCCCACATGAAAGCGTTCGTCCCTGTATCTCCCAGCCACAGCATCTCCCCTCCTGCCCCCGTGCAGGCGCTCGGCACGTTCAGCGCTTACATTCCTGTGGCTGGCTGGAAGGGCCGCGGTCACCCTTATCCCTGGGACACCCGCACGGGAGGTTTGGGGCCGGCTCTACCGAGCTGCCCCTCAAGGTCACCTCCCTTGCAGGCAGGAACGAGGCAGCGGTGCTCGCTGTGCCTTATGTTCCCTGCGGAGCAGGGCACGGCTGCAGGGCCCCGCCGGGGGTTCCCTGGTCCCACACTGCAGCGGCTGCCCCACAGCCCAGCTGCAGGTCCCACAGCCCACGCTGCAGCGCTCTCAGCATCCCTGCAAGCCCTTGGTGCTTCCCTCTGCTGCATCCACAAAGCGGCTATCACATGCCTGTTTCCAGATAGCAAACCTGGGTTTGTGTTATCTGCTGCTCTCTTCTCTTTCAGGTGCTTTCCTAATTCCCTGCAAGCTGTGGTTTGTTCTAAGGAAATTCTTGTTCTGCAGACGATGATCAGCGGCAGTAGGGAGCGGATGGAGGAGAAAGCAGCTGGCACCTACAGAGGCCAGAAACCACGACAGCGAGGGAGGAAACCCTGCCAGAGACATCCCGGACCGGGGCTCCAGCGATGGAACCTCCGGTCCATCCCCCCCGGGCACCACCAGCATCACCCCCACCTCGGCCATGGCTCCTGCTGAGGCTTCAGCACCAACCCAGACTTTTTATTTCAATATGGACTCTTACAACTTTTGATCAAGAAACTGTTCCTGGTACTTCTCATCTCTGGGAAGCCAGCCCTTGATTGGCTTCTATATTTAGACTTCTCCAGGGCTTTAGGAAGTTCACTCCTCTTGGTATTTAGGTGTAGGATGAAAGCAGCTTTTGCGGGGGATATGTTAAACCACAGCAGGCTCCCTCTGCTAATGCTGCGAGGAGAAAGAAGAGCTAGATTCCTCGAACTTCCCTCTTCCTCGTGTCCCCCATGCCATGGGCACGGTGCGCGCCTCAGAAACAGGCACTGGGGACAAGCCAGGCGGAGAACAATATCAGCTGCACGGCTCCTAATAAAAAGAGCCCACGAGGAGAAGATGGGAAATGCTCTCACTTATGGATTTTGCTCTTTTTTTTCTCCTGGAAATATCTTGCTGGGAAATTTTTTTCCTGATCATTTCTGCTTGAAAAATGGGCAAGGAAGGGTTGCTAAAATGTTGATGGTGTTTCTCAGTGCCAAACAATTATATGTCGTTCTGCACGAGGCACCAAGCAAACACGAGGTCCCATCCTGCACTGACAGCTACAGTCCCACTTACTGCAGCACCACCAGCCCTGGCCCTGCCGATGCAGTGAGCCTCACCCAGCCTGCGCTGGTGCGTTCACATTGTTCCTCTGCCCAGAACTGTACACAAGAGGTTTTTTCCTCCTTGCAAAGCAAACACTTCCATGTGAGGGGCAGTGGGTTTACAGCAAACAGAGCTGAGGTGGATCTGTCAGTGGGGCACCGGTGCCGTGCATCAGAGCTGCTCTTTCAGCAGCCACAGCCGAGCCAGTGAGGTGGGTCCAGGCCTTTGCTCCGACCTCAGCTTATTCCTCTCCTGGCTCCCAGGCCTGGGAATGAAAACACAGGGAGCCTGGAAAAGGCAGCCCTGCCTCCAGCTGTGGAGAGGGTGGGCTGCGGGTCTGCTCCCCCGGGAATGGGGCTGCCCTGCATCCCAGGCCTGCCCTGGACAAGGGAGGAGAAGCCTGGGGGACCCATGGGCTTGCTGGGATGCAGGCTCTGAGGTTTGCTGGGATGCCTGCTCCAGGGCTTGCTGGGATGCAGGCTCTGAGGTTTGCTGGGGCGCCTGCTCCAGGGCTTGCAGGGATGCAGGCTCTGAGGTTTGCTGGGGCGCCTGCTCCAGGGCTTGCAGGGATGCAGGCTCAGGTTTGCTGGGGTGCCTGCTCCAGGGCTTGCTGGGGTGCCTGCGTGCCCAGGAGGCAGAGGACATTCTGCACGGTGCAGGAGAGCAGAGCTGCCTCGCTGCGAGCCGGCAAGGAAGCCGGAGGAGCCGCTGGATCTGGCACCCAGCGCTCCCCAATAGACATAACCCTGCTGCCCACGGGCCTGGCGTGAGCAGGGAGGCAGCAGTGCCCTGCCCGCAGGCAGGGTTACAGGGCAGTGAGCAGGCTGCTCCGAGGTAACAAAACACCGGGTGCATGGAGCGGCCTCAGCTGCCGGGTGAGCACCGTGCCTTGGGCTTGGTGAGAGGTGCTGATGCGACCTCGGGAGCAAAGCAACCCATTGCCCTGCCCGCAGCACCCCATTGCCCTGCCCGCAGCACCCCATTGCTCTGCCCGCAGCACCCCATTGTCCTGCCCGCAGCACCCCACTGCCCTGCCCGCAGCACCCCACTGCCCTGCCCGTAGCACCCCACTGCCCTGCCCGCACACCCCACCCCCCACACCCCACCCCAAGCACCCCATTGCCCTGCCCGCAGCACCCCACTGCCCTGCCCGCAGCACCCCATTGCCCTGCCCGCAGCACCCCATTGCCCTGCCCGCAGCACCCCACTGCCCTGCCCACAGCACCCCATTGCCCTGCCCACAGCACCCCATTGCCCTGCCCGCAGCACCCCATTGCCCTGCCCGCAGCACCCCATTGCCCTGCCCGCAGCACCCCATTGCCCTGCCTGCAGCACCCCATTGCCCTGCCCACAGCACCCCATTGCCCTGCCCGTAGCAACCCATTGCCCTGCCCACAGCACCCCATTGCCCTGCCCACAGCACCCCATTGCCCTGCCCGTAGCACCCCATTGCCCTGCCCAGGAAACAGCTCCCTGAGGCCCTGGTCATCCCACCCATGGACTGGGGACTGCGGCGTGGCATGACCCGTGTGGGGAAGCATCACGCCATGGCTCAAACAGGGAAGGTAGCACAGACATTATTACTAGGGGATGTTGCAGCATCTCTTGCTATTTTTAAATGGGCAGAGTTAAACTGTGAGTTTGGGTGGGCTTTCTTTAATAAACCTGCAAAGATGGGTAGCAATTTCTTAGTGTCATTTGGATCTTGGTTTAGATGATGGGGAGACATGCTACCGATATGGAAAAAAGGGGGGAAATGGTAAACTGCATTTATAGTGACAAGAGTGCTTATATTCCATAGCATCCTGGAAGAAAGCTAAAACTAGAAATCTATACGAATCTGAAAATACATCACTGTAACACAAATGCAGGACATGTTTAGAGTTGGCTCTTGGAGTTATCACCGTGAGCCATCTCCCCAGCACCGAGGCACTAATCTAATGGAGATCACCACCGAAGCAAAACCCTTCAGGTTGGAGGGGGACGAGGCATGGTGCGAGCGATGAGGCTCCCTGTCACAGCAAGGTGACCCCTCTCTTCCTGGGAAGAGGCCCAGCAGAACGGGGCAGCCGGGTGACATCATCGCATCTCCAGCGAGGACGCGGTGATGTCAAAACGAAAGCGAGGAGGAGGAGGAGGAGGAGGAGGAGCAGAGCCGCAGGTTCAAGCAGAACTATGTAAAACAAGCTACAGATGCTGCTGCAGGGGCCAAGGTCAGGCCGGGCTGAGGGGCTGAGCCGGGGATGCACAGCGCCCTGGTGTCAGCTCCCCACCCCTGGCAGCTCCAAGCACGTGGGTCACAGCAGTATCTGCCTCTAGGAACACGCTGACAGCCCACAGCCAGCCAAGGGGGTGAAGCGGCTGCACAGCCTCTCCTCCCCTCCTCGCCAGGTAAGGGCACTGCAGGGCTCAAGCCATGCCATGCCATGCCATGCCATGCTGTGCCACAGTTACTATCCCGCTTTACACCTCAGCACCACCTCATTGCCTGTTGCTGCTCCCCCTGCCCACGCACTGGGCTTAGGAACACTGCACTTCAAATGTGGATGGTGCTGAACCATGTTGGCCATACTGGACTCCATTACCCCCTTTCCCAGCACAGGAACCCAGCAAAACCAGCAGCTACCCTTGGTGAGAGCGTTTATTCTGGGGGTACAAGTGGCTCTGCAAGGGTGGAAGTGCTGTACATGGAGCTGGGGGCCAAGGGGAGAGAGATTAACGGGTATCTGCTAGGTCCTTCCCTGCACTCCAGTAAACCCTCTCTGTATTGTGGCTTGTTTCCACCATAACCACACTAGGTGGATCCCAACCCTTCCAAAAGCCGAGCTCTGACGTGTGAGTAACAACCAGGAAGGATTCCTCAATAACCTGGGATAACCAAGTGGATCTTTTTGAGCTGGTGACTGAGAGCTGTTGATGTGGGGGGAGCAGAAGTCAAGCATGTTCTTTAACGCCCCGTCATGGTAATCCCTCCTCAGAGACCCCTCTGCCAGCTCTGACACAGCCCAGCGCCATCCCTTCACATCTGGTCTGACTGACACATCACCACAGGTTGGACACATGGGTGGCACGGAGCAGCCTCACATCTGGGTCCCCCCGGTTTCCTGTGAGCCTGCATCTCCAAACAGGGCTGCTGCTGGGAGCGGAGAACGGGAGGGCAAAGGGAACGGGGCAGGCAAGGCAGACAATGAATATACCCTGCCCTCTGCGTGAGGAGTAAATTGGCAGCTGACAGGTTATAATCTGTGCAAGCAGGGTCTTCACGGGAGAGGTGAAGGCTCCATTGGGGGCCAATTGGATGGTTAATTAGGAGGCCAAAGCAGAGGATTTGTGAAAATGTGTATGAGACAGCGCCTGGCAAGGGAGAAACGCTCACCAGAGAGGAGCTGCTTCTGGCTCGGAGGAGGAAACACGAGGGTGAAGCAGCAGAACGGAGCACGGGAGGGATGCGAATGCCTGAGAGAGGGACGGGGATTCCCAAGAGCAGAGGAGTGCGGGAAGGACCCTGTGACATCGAATGCTTCTAGAAACACACGGGCCGTGTCCTCCCTCTTCCTCCTCCCTCCCTGGTCCCCACCCCTGTGACCAAAAGCCGGGGCTGTGTGAGCAGCCTCCGAGGCAGGCGCTGCAGCTCCAATCGCTGTGCAGAGCCGGGCACAGGGAAAGCAATTAAAGCAAAGCTTTGATGGGGACTCACAGATGCCTGCTCGCGGTGGAAATACGCGAGCTTCTCCGAGCACCTTGGTGGTGGCTGGAGCCGGCCTGACCCCCATCCCCTCCTCATCCCCTCCTCATCCCTCCTTGGCGCGTTGCTGCTGCAGCGGGAGCGTGACTGATGCTCTCTGTCCCACACACGGCTCCGAGAGCTCAGAGGTAGGAACCAGTTGCTAAGAGACAGGACTGTACTTTCCAGCCCACATCCAGACCTTTGTCACCAGCTCAAGGGCTTTCTGCTGGATCAAAACACCCAGCGCAGGTGAGCGGAGCGGGCAGGCCTGGTCCCAGCCCCCCACAGATGCATGGTCCCAGCGCGGGGGGGCTCGGTCATCCAACCCCACAATGGGAATGGCAAGGCCAACAGCATCCCCAAGGGACCAGCTCCTCTGTGCTGGCTGCTTGTCTCAGTGCTGTGAGACCCCAAACTGGAACGCCCTGTTAGTGCGGATGAGTGGATGACTCAGGGTTTGCTTTGAGATCCCTCCTTCAAACGCAGCCAAGAGGAGTCCCGCACTTCATCCTCTTTTATGGTTTTTGAGGGGTGCCTGATGAGCCTGGACTCATTTTTAGCCCAGAGACCCCCCTAACAGAGACCCATCCCCAAACCTGCCAGGAGGAAAGCCCAAACTCTGAGACACAAAGACTGCGTTTCCCTGCCTTCCCCAGGACACCCCCTTCCCCGGTCCATTGGAGCCACTGCCATTGCCTCTGCTTGTGTGTCAGAGGAGAAACACATCCTCCTGGGCTGCTGAGCCAAAGCAGAGCAAGGACAGGGAGAAACCACTCACACAGCATCTTGCTTTCACAACTGTCACTCCATGAAGGGCCCTGGACCACGCTGGAGAGACACAACCAGCCTCTGCTCCCCTCCCAGTGACCACTGCCTCATCTCAGACACCAGCAAGGAAAGCCTTACACCAAGCCCCTGCTCTTACCGTCTGCTCCCCTACACACGCACATGGGCTGCAGCTATTCCTCCTCATAAATTGGCGTTCTTTGGCCCCAGCAGCACAAGGGGAAGTCAGAAGCATCCCAACAACGCCGACGATTTTGGCCAACAGGTACCTGCCCTCACTACAATCAGCTATTTAAACCAGACACCAAAATTGAGCGTGGCTTTGGCTCATCTCGATGCAACTCTTTCGAGGGGGGCACAGCTAACACGAGATCAGGGGAGAGTAACTAATTTGCACTCAAGAAAGGGATATGAATATGCATTCCCCTGCCACAGCAATGCAGAGCACCCGCGTGGGCCAGGGGAGCAGACACCCCAGCGATGCTCCCCTGTGCCTTCCCCACCATTTGTGTGTCCACAGCTGGGTTCACAGAATGCTCACATTAGGACTGAGCAGCAGCAAAACCAGAACTATAGAGATGACATTAACAGGGGTTATTGCTGAGAAGGGTTTGGGCAAACTGAGCCTTGAGGAAGTTCTCACTGAAGAGCGTGGCCACCTCTTACTCAGCGACCGAATTCCTCTGCCTGCCTGCGGTCAGAACCAGCCCCTCCGAGCCATGGCGGGGTCAGAGCAGCCCAGAGCGGTACCCACCGAGACCCCCACATCTGACAGGACTGCAATTCATGGATGAAAGCCTCAGCTCTCAGTGCTCAAGGCCAGGCTGGACACAGGGGCTTGGAGCAACCTGCTCTAGGGGAAGGTGTCCCTGCCTGTGCCATGGGGCTGGAAGCGGATGATGAGCTTTAAGGTCCCTTCCAACCCAAACCAGGCTGGGATTCCAACAACTGCTGTTCCTCTTGGATCAGCAATGCCATCAGTGTTTCTGGAATCACGCAGGATGGGCAGTGTAGGTGGTACAGGGGTTATTCCTTCAGAAGCTGTTCAATCAGACACACATGAAGGGAGTGGGACCAGCAGGAGCAGTGGGATGTGACTCCAGCTCTCCTGTGTGCTGGTGACCCAAGCCAGTGCCCAGGCTGAGGCTGTCTGGGGGTGCTGGGATCTCCCTCTGGAGCTGCACCCCATGTGCCATACCGCAGTACTAACCAGCACAGAGGGGCTGCCTGCTGATCAGCCTTGTATGCTTGGCAGAAGGAAAGCGGGCACTGAATTAGACGCCGGTTCCCCCCCCTTATCCCTACAAGCAGCTTCAGGCGCTGTCCCACAGGGCTGGGAGTGGGCAGGAGCTGGGCATGGGCTCTGCTGCCAGATCTCCTGCTGCCGGCTGGGCGAGGAGCTTCATTCTGCCAGCCTGTAAGTGCACATTGCCAGAGCTCTTTAATTCACCTTGCCGAGGTACTGGGGGCTTCTCAAGCCAGATCCCAGGCCCAGAGGACTGGGGTCACTGCTGTGACTCCTGCCACGAGCAGCTTCAGGAGGAAGAACCGCAACTGGTGTGCAAGCTAGGAGCTGAACCCCAGCCTGGTTTGGGTTGGAAGGGACCTGAAAGCGCACCCAGTTCCATCCAGGGACCCCTTCCACTGGAGCAGCTTGCTCCAAGCCCCTGTGTCCAACCTGGCCTTGAGCACTGCCAGGGATGGGGCAGCCACAGCTTCTCTGGGCACCCTGTGCCAGCGCCTCAGCACCCTCACAGGGAAGAGCTTCCGTAGCTGTTCCATAACAGGTGAAGGCTCAGTATGCTCCAAGAAAGACTTCTGCTATGGAAGCCTTAGACAGTTTCTCAGATAATATCCCCAGGCCCATTTGCTGTGTCTGAGGCTCTTTTGAATGGTCCTGATTTATTTTTTGTCTCACTTGAAGTGCACACAAAGTCTCAGTGGTTGTACACATAGTGAAAACCTTCTGTTGGCATCTTCTTGGAGGTTATAGCTGTGCAGCTCTGGGGGCACTGAATATGGGCATTGAAGGGTACTCATACCAGGGAAAATGTGCCCTCTATTAGCTGTGGGAGCAGCATCTTTCCAGCATGCCTGGCCTCGCAGCCCAAGCGTTGTGCTGCTGTGCTGTGCTCTGCTGTCCCAGGGCCTGGCACCGCAGCTTCCACAGCACAACGCTCCCTGTCTCTGGAGCTAAACCATACTCAGGGATAGGCTGTATTGTGAGCTTTATCATGTGTCCCATGTGATGCTTTCCCTGCTGTTGGAGAAAGGCCTCCATCCATTTTGCTTCCTGGTCTCACCAATTCCCACTGTAGGCTCCCCCCACTACAGGACCTTTCCTTGGGATGAGCCTCACCAGTCACGCCTGTCTCGGGGGGGGGGACAGCACCGCTGACCCGCACTCATCCAACAGCAGCACCCACACAACATCCGCAGCCTTTCAGCCATGCCCACAAGCCCCCCAGTCCCTCGCCTCGGCTCTGCAGGGGACAGGGAGAGAGCAGGGAAGCAAACCCCACCGTGGGCAGTGGGGCAGAGCCTGCCCGAGCCCTGCGCGGTCCCCAGAGGGCCGGGCTGATGCCAGGCTCCCCATCCTCATCCCACAGTCCCCGCCTGCACCACCCCTGCCAGCACAAACCTGTCCTGCGAGGCCGGGGTTGTGAGGAGCTCCCATCACGCACAGCCAAGGACAGCAGTGATTGTGGGAGCGTGTGAGACCCTCCCGCAGCGAGGACCCGAACCCACGTCCAGCGCTGAGCCCCCCCTGCACACCCCACTGCTACAGCCGAAGCCAGGCTGTCACCGAAGCGCTGCGCCACGTCTCCATCTCACTCTACATCTGTATGAGAAAGACTGTCTAAATGATGCTAAATGCTCAGGACAAGAGGGACACGAGATTATAATGAACTGCGTCTTAGCACCTTGTCACGAAGGAATTCTCCCACAGTTCATAGCAAATCTGGGGAGAAGGGAGCCCGTGGTGCATCCGGGGCCGGGCTGGTCACCGGGTAACGAGGGGTTTTACACCTTATCCCCATGAAGGAAGGGCAGATCTGGGCACTTTGGGCTGTATCCATTGTCTGTGCTGCTGCAGCACACAAAGATGCCCTCCTCCTCCTCCTCAGTACAGCCTGAACGTGTTTTTTCCCAACTGCCTGACCTAAAGGATGCAGCATCCAGCCCGTACGTGAATAGGGCTGTCAGACAACAGCGTCCTGCACGGCAAAACCCCACGGGTTTATCTGCGTAGGGTTTTTTAATTGTATGTGTTAAATGTCCAGCATCTTCGGGACGTTCATCTGGGAAAAGGAAATGTGAGCGCTCCCCGTGCCAGACATCCGTCCGCACTGCTGTTCCTATTCCCAGTGCATTCTTTGAGAAGACCACCATCTGCTCTGACCACCACCTAAGGCAGATGCCCCTCTCAGTGCACAGTCCCAGCTCTCAAGCCACCCAAATCTGATTAGGGCCGTTCTGATGAGAGGCCTGGAGGAGGGCAAGGGAAAGTTACTCGGGAGAGAAAATAATAACCACACGTTAATTATGTTTTCGCTACAGATATGCAGAAAACACAGCAGCCAGCTCAGGATGTGTGAGCCAAAAGCAGCAGCAACAGCGGGCTGCTGAGGGGGGGATTATTTGGGGGGTTTGGGATTATTATTGCTTTATCCCAGTGGAGGAGTGGCCCAGCCCTGTCAGGGAAAGGCAGGATCTTATCCCCACTGCTGCCCTCTACATGCTCCTTACACCACCTCTCCTCTAGCTATAGCTCCTGGTACCTCGGGTTCCCAGTAGTGACCTGTAGACACGGCAGCACATCCTGCACCCCCCTGCATCCTCTGAGACCCCCCTGCATCCCGGCTGCCTGTGCTTCACCCATCCCTCCAGCCACGGGACAGTCCCAGCACGGATGAGCTCGGAGAAGGACGAGCAGCCGGGATGGGACGTGTCGGGTTGCTGAGGAGCACATCCAGGAGAAAGCAACCGGAACGCTGCTCCAGAAGTGTTGGGAAAAGCAGCTGAACGGGCACTGAACCAGAACACACGCTTCACCGTCCAGCAAGAGGCTCCTATCAGCTTCCCTATTTGACTGCATGCGTGAGAGAAATGAAATACACCCACAGACCCAGCCCAAAGCACCAAGGACGAGGAGAGCGCTGAATTCTGAGAGCTGAAGGAAATCCCTGTCAAGTTATCTCTATATTTGAGAGCCCCTTCAGGCAAAACCCAAAATGCAGCAACTGCCTTAAAGGGTCCATGGGACTCCCAGCAGAGTGGGGCGATGGGTCCGGGATGGTGGGGTCGGGGGGCACCCATAGACCCTGTGCTGGAGGATTTGGGAAGCACAGTGCCTGGTCTTCCCTACACCAGTGGCTCTGGGAAGCACTCCCAGCCCTAATGTCCATCCGGTTGGGAATAAGCCCTATTGCCCCTTGGAAAATGCAGTTGTCCCCTGAGGGCATGGCTGCTTTTTGTTGGGCTTAGGGAGCGGGGTGTATCTGCTGCCTGCAGCCTGCAGGGACTCTGCCTGAGAAGATGCGGGGCCTGGACACGCTCCTCGCTGAAACTTCATCTGGGCAGAAGCCCTGGGGGACCAGCGGCCTCACACCGGCCTCACCGAGCCACCGGCCCCGGGGACCCTGCGGGACAAAGCGGGGGCCGGCAGGCGAGCAGCGGGGCCCGGCTCGGCCTCTCCGGGGGACCATGACTCGGCAGCATTCGGGAGATGTGGGATAGAGGCACCGGCTGGAGGGATGGAGAGGACCCGGGCAGGGCTGCGTGTGTGAGAGCAGGGGGGTGCAGCTCCGAATCCGCCCCGGCTGGGGCTCGGGGGGGGGGGGAGGCTGCAAAAAGGTCTTAAAAAAAAAATGGCAAAGAATTTTTTTGGGGCATGGCATGGGGGAGGGGGCTGCGAGGGGAGAAAGAAAGGAGCCTCTGAGCACCACGGAGGGAAAGGGAGAAATAATGACCCTTCCCCCTCCCCCCAATAATAAGGCAGACCAGATGGGAGGTAAATAGTGCGTTTAGAAGCATTTGCCACAGATGGGCTGCCCTCAATGGAAGCATCCTCCAGCCACATCAATGCTGGAGTCTGTGTGTGCACAGAAAACACTGCACCCTTCAGAGCAGCGGCAGCAGCAGCAGCAGCGGGAGAGGCGGGGAGGGACGGGGGGGAGAGGAAAAAAATCCCTCCCGGAGCCCTGCGGAGCCGCCGGCCCGAGGAGCGGCCCCGGGGGGGCGGCGGGGCCGGGGCAGCACCGGGCGCACCCTGCGCCGGGGGCCGCTAAAGTTGCGCGTTTCCCTCCGCGCCGGGGAGCGGAGCGCGCTCGGGACGGGAACAATGGGGCGGCGGGGCAGCCCCGGGCGGCGGCGGGGCGGGGGGGGCGGCGGGCAGCGGGCAGGGAGGCGGCCGGTGCGCCCGGCGGGGCGCCGAACAATGAGGCTCCGGAGGGGGAGTTTCCCGGGACGCCGGCCCGAGGAGGGGAGGGGGAGGCGGGGGGGGGCCCCCCCCGCTGCCCTAATCCGGGCCCTGCCGCTGCCCGCACCCCGCGGGGCACCGGCTGCAGCGGCCGCGCTGGGGCGGGCAGCGCCGCGGGACGCCGGGGCCGGGCGAGCCGCAGCGGGCCGGGTCCCTGCGCTCCCTCCGCTCGGCGCGGCGCGGCGGCCGGGGCGGGCAGGGCGCGGCGGCGGCAGCGGCGGGGGGGGGGGGGAGGCACCGGCGCCCCCTCCCCGCCGCTCCCTGCCCTTGACTGCGGACCTGTCCCCGGCCGGGGGGCGGATGGGAAATGCCGGGCGAACGTGATCGGACGGGGCGCGGGGCGGGGGGGGGGCGGCAGCGGGGCCCGCACCGGGCGGTGGCGAGGCCCCCCCGCGGGGGGCAGGTGCACGGCGGCGAGCGCGGGGCACCGCCGTCCCCCCACACCTCCCGGCGGCAGCGCCCGGGGACGGCGGCCGCACCGGATGGGACGGGGACGGGCACAGGGAGGGGAGGGGAGGGGGGGGCGGCGGAAGGTGCGAGGCTCCGGGCGGGCGCCTCTCGCCATCCGCATCCCGGGCGGGCCGGGGCGGCGGGGGCGCGGTGGCTGCCCCGGGAGCGGCGGGGGCTGCGGGAGCGGCCGGGCCCCGCGTCGCGCCCCGCATGGGGCATGCGCGCTCCCGGCGGCCGGCGGCGCGGCGGGGCTGGGCCGCCCGGTGCTGACGGGACAGGGCCGGCGCGGCGGTGATGGGGACAGGGGGCCCCGGGGGTGCCCACCCCCGCCCCGGGATACCCCCCCCACCCCTCCCGCCCGCACCCCCGGGGAGGACACACAGACACGGACAGGCAAGCAGACAGACAGACACAGAGCCCCCGGGGCACGGAGCGCACTAACCGTTCCCGTTTTCACCGGCACATATACCACCACTTGACCCATCTTCGTCGCCTCCCTGGTGCCGTTTCCCAGGCGGAAGCCCTTGGACCGGACCCAGAACTGGAACTTGCCTTTCTCCCCCCCGCCGGAGCCGCCGCCGGAGCCGGATCCCCCCTGCAGCACCTCGGCGATGCGCTGGTACTTGCTCCGGGTCACCGTCTTGGTTTTAGCCGAGTCCCCGTAGGTGCGCAGGCACCAGTCCCGGAACTGCCGCCCCAGCTCGCTGTCCCCGGGGCGGCTCCCCCGTAGCAGCAACGGCGGCTTCGGCATCGCCCGGCCGGTAGCGGCGGCGGCGGCGGTAGCAGCAGCAGCAGCAGCAGCAGCAGCAGCAACGGCGGTTCCCGGCCCCGCGCCCTGTCCCGGAGCGTGCGGAGGGGGGCAACCGGGGCGGCGCGGTGAGCCCAGCCGGTGCTTGCTCAGCTCGGGGCGGCCCGGGACGGGCTGCGGGGCCACGGTCCGGGATGGAGCGGGGATGGAGGAGGATGGAGAGGAGCGGGGGGGGATGGCCGGGGCTCGGACAGCGACCCGGCTCTCCGGGCGGAGGGAGGCACCGGCGGCGCCAGCAGCAGCAGCAGCCGCTCCTGTCACAGGATCACAGGCGGCTCCGGCTCGTCCCCCTCCCTCCCTCCCTCCGCCCGCCCGCCCGCCCGCCCGTCCTCCGCCCCCCTCCGGCCTCCTCCTCCTCCTCCTCTCAGCGGGATCCCACCTGTTAGAGCGGCCGCGACCACGGCGACGGGCCCCCCCCTCCCCCGGACGGGACCGCCCCGGGGACGCCGTTCCCCCCGGCCCGGGCCTCGTGTTCCGCGACGGTTGCCCCCCGGTGGGATGCGCTCCCCCGGCTCGGTCACCGCCCCCGTCCCCGCTCCCACGGCCCGAACGGGGAGGGTTTACGGGGGGGTAGCGGCTGAACCGGCGGGGGGGGGGCTGAGCACAGGTCCCGGTGCCGGTCCCAGACAAAGGGCCGGCGGGCGCACGTGTGCGGCGGGACGGGACCGGGGCGAAGGCGGGCACCTGCCGAGCCGCCGCAGAGCCGGGGAGGAGCCGCGGGGGCAGCGGAGGGGTCTCCGCCACCCGCCCTCCGGAGCGGCCTGGAATGGAGAACGGGACAGAGCCGGGAGCTCGCCCCGCAGCGCCCTCGGTCGGGGCTGACCGTAGAAGCGGCTGCGGCTTGTCCCGCCTGACCGAGAGAACCGCACCCCGCCCGGAGAGCGGCCCCGGGGCAGCACCGGAGCCGGGAGACAAAGGCCGGACCCCGGCCCCGCTGCTTCGTTCCGCTCCCCCGCGGCGCTGCCCGGGCTGAGCATCCTCCCAGCGGGCCGGCGGCAGGGGGCTGAGGACCGGCACCGTCCCGCGGCGCTACCGAGCCCCGCCGCTGCGGGATAACGGGGGTGCTCCACCGGGGGCCGCCCGGGCCCTGTCCCGGGCGGTAGCTGGGGCTCCGCGGTGCTCCTGCTGGTGCCGTACTGGTGGTGCTCCCTGTCCTGCAGTGCCGTGTGTGTGCTCTGTGCCCACCCAGCAGGGCCACGCGTGTGCTCGTGGTCTGTCCATCCATCCCACACGTGTGCTCCCTGTCATGCAATGCCATGTATGTGCCGTGTGCCCACCCAGCAGGGCCACACATGTGCTCCTGGTGCATCTGCAGGTGCCACACGTGCTCCCTGTCTGTCCATCGATGTCACACGTATGGTCCCAGTCTGTCCATCCATCCCACATGTGTGCTCCCTGTCCAGCAGTGCCATGTATGTGCTGTGTGCCCACCCAGCAGGGCCACACATGTGCTCCTGGTGCGTCTGCAGGTGCCACACATGCTCCCTCTCTGTCCATCGGTGTCACACGTATGGTCCCAGTCTGTCCATCCATCCCACACGTGTGCTCCCTGTCATTCAGTGCCATGTATGTGCTGTGTGCCCACCCAGCACTGCCATGCATGTGCTCCTGGTCCATCTGTGGGTGCCACAAGTGCTCCCTGTCTGTCCATCGATGCCACGCATGTGGTCCCAGTCTGTCCACTGGTGCCATACATGTGCTCTCTGTACAGCAGTTACATGTATGTGCTCCAAGCCCACTTGGTAGTGCCGCACATGTGGCACTGGTCTGTCCATCAGTGCCATGTGAGTGTTCCTGGTCTCTCCATTGGTCCCACACACATGTCCACTGCCCATCAGTGCCACACATGCTCCCAGCCTGCCCACTGGTGCCATACATGCGCTCCCTTCCAACCTGGCAGTGCCACACATGTGCTCCTGCTCTGTCCATCAATGCCATACACGTGGTCTTGGTCTGTCCAGTGCCATGTGTGTGCTCTGTGCTGGCCGGGTCACAGCACTGGTGCGTGCTGGGGGTTCCTGTCCTGTCCACAGAAGTGGGGCTGGTGTAAGGATGCAGCAGCAGGAGCCTGTGGGAACCTGGGAGGGGGATTTGACGTGGCAGGGAGTTGTCAGAGGCCAGGACTGGAGCCAGGGTGAGGGTGCCCCAGTGGCCAAAGGGCAGTTTTGCTCCCTGCTCCTCACCCGTGCTGGCCGCACCGTGCCCATCTGACAGGTCCCCATGGTGGGCATCAAGTGCTGCAAGAGCTGATCTTGCATGGTTGGCCATGCCAGAGGGAGCACGGTGAAACCAGGGGTGTCTGTGACACCAGTGCATTGAAATCAGTTATTGAGATGCACCATTATAAACCCTGCTGACCCTCTGTACCCCACTGGATGTCTGGACTCCTCTCCAAAAATCCCCAGTGTCCCCATCCAGTTTGGGCCCACCACAGAGAGGGACTTGAGGGCAGGTCTGCCCCAGGTTGGGTTCACAGTGCAGGATGCCTACAGGAGCTTGCTAGTGCACTGCAGTATTTCTGCTGACCACTAAAAAGAAGATGGCCATCCTTTCCAGCCTCAGCCAGCCATGGAAGCAGGGCTTCCTCGGGGGGCTGCGTGAGGATGCTGGCGGATGGAAAGAGAAGAAGAGAGATGGATATTCTGCACTGTTGGGGCTTGCTGGGCAGCTTGCTCCCCAGGACTTGGTGGATGAGTCCAGGCTCAGCTCATAGCCTGCTACAGCACATGGGCACCCTGCCACTGGGCTGCAGAACAATCTGGAACATGGGGTGGGATTCCCTGTGTGAGCTCTGTGAAGAGGCTTCCCAGGGGATGTTGTGTGAGGGAGGCAGTGGCAGGACACTGGTTTTGCTGGGGAGCTGCTCCAGCTGGGGCTGCCTCCTCCTTGTGTCACTGAATTCCACTCCCTGCAACTCAACCAGTCAGGAGCCAAGAGAAAAGGGAGCAATATCTTCTAGGCATGGACAAAAGTCTCCTACCTCTGCCCAGCCCTCTGAAGCTGAGGTAGGAGACTGCATGTCCATTATAGTTGGATATTTTCACCGGAACAGCACCAGTTTGGGGGTTATCACTGCCAAATCACAGTGGCCATCAAACATCCTCAGCTCCATTGGTGCAAAGCAGAGTGATAAGCGTTAAATGTTCTGTAATGACTACCAGGTCTCCCACCCATCCTTCTCCTGGTTTGGTTTGTTAATCGCTGCTGTTCAGTGTCTTGGTGTCTCTGGTAGTGAATCCCTCCAGATTTTCTGTTAAGAAGGTTCAGGTTCGACCTGATGCAGAGCTCACTCTGGAGAGCACCAACGTGTGTTTGGGACCGCAGAGCCAGCCAGAGCACCAGCTGCTGTCCTTGCAAGGAGGCTTTGGGGAAGACTACTCACGCATGGATGGAGTGTTCAGGTCAGTATTTAAAGTCCCAGTCCAGCATGGATCCAACAAGGGTTTGACTGGCACTGCTTCACCAGTCACAGAGAACCATGGAGTCCCAGACTGGTTTGGGTTGAAGGGACCCTAAAGCTCCTCCAGCTCCAACCCCTGCCATGGGCAGGGACCCCTTCCACTGGAGCAGCTTGCTCCAAGCCCTATGTCCATCCTGGCCTCCATCACTGCCAGGTAGAACACAGGATATTGAGGCCACTCTTGACCTTAAAGACAGGGGAGGGAAAAGAGGTGGGAATGTTTGGTGGCACTGCCCCATCAGCTGTGGGTTCTGGGTGACAGAAACTGGGTTCCTTCAGCACAGGGTATCTGCTGCAGGCTTTCTTATGGATGAACACATGATAACTGCAGCTCCATTGCTATTTATACTACATAAATAAAAGTTGTTCTTAGAAACTTCCAACAGATATAACCTGGACGTTGTTCTCTTTGTGACAGCTTTTTGGGTACGGGTACCCCAGAGCCTGGACTATTCTATTGGCTTGTGGTCATTCTTCCACATACATAAAACCAAGGAAATCAGGAATTAGGGATTGTAATACCTGGAAAACGATGAATTGGGAATACCAGAGCAGCTTCCCTGAGATGGGAACGCTGATGATGGAAGGCTTCACTACCTCATGGCATGGTGAGAGTCTGGAGAAGGTACCTGGTGTGTGCAGAGCTCCCTGCTCAAGGTACAAGACAAAAGGGTGATCAACACAAGTATGAGTGATGCACAGTGATGGACCCGGATCATTCCATAGCCAACCGGTGGGATTTATCACCCACTGCCTGTGTATGCAAGAGGACCCCTTGCCTCTGCGGAGGAGCAGCGCCTGGGAAGGCACAGGTTTGAGAAAGAGAAGGGTGAGATAAGCACTCCTGCTGTAGGGGATAAGCCTGAAACTGATGGTCGGGAGTGAGAAAGATGCTTCCTTTGTGGATATTTCCTTCCCAGTTTTCTCCAGCGCTGGGGCCCTCCTTTGAAGTGCCTGATGCTTATCAGGGCAGGGGCAGGCGGCGGTCTGGAGGGGCTGATTCAGCCTGGCCATATTCCCGCGTTCCCTGGGTTTCCCACAGCGCTCCATCCTCACCAGTGCTCTGCTCCCAACCTCTGCTCCAGGCCCCTGCTCCCTCTGGAAGAGCCGGGTGGGACCTGCTGGGCCGAGGGGGCAGTGTGCCAGGACCCTGCAGATCCCACCCTGGCATCCCCCGGTTACATGGGCAGCTTCCAGGGGAAAGGGATAACTGGGAAGTACCTTCTCTGGGAGCTGCTTTGAATGCGGTTCATCCGCTGGGCTGGGGCAGCCTGGAGAAGAGAAGGCTCCAGACCTGAGGGCAGCTCCAGTGCCTGAAGGGGCTCCAGGAAACCTGGAGAGGGGCTTGGGACAAGGGATGTAGGGGCAGAACAAGGGGAATGGCTTGAACCTGCCCGAGGGGAGCCTGAGCTGAGCTCTTAGGCAGAAGCTCTTCCCTGTGAGGGTGCTGAGGCGCTGGCACAGGGTGCCCAGAGAAGCTGTGGCTGCCCCATCCCTGGCAGTGCTCAAGGCCAGGTTGGACACAGGGGCTTGGAGCAAGCTGCTCCAGTGGAAGGGGTCCCTGCCCGTGGCAGGGGTTGGAGCTGGAGGAGCTTTAAGTTCCCTTCCAACCCAAACCATTCCA